TTAATTAAATCGTCATGCAACTTCTTAGCCTTTTCATATATGATCGCTTGAGAGATGCTATCTCCTGCTATCTGTTTTTTACTTATCCACACCAATAACTGTCTCTCAACATCTTCTATCACTTGCGATCTCAGTTTCGAAAACATAGTTGCACCTTTGGCAAGAACAGCTTCCGTGATTGCCGTTTTCTTGCCCACAATAGTAGCGATGGTTGATTGGGGTTTTGTGTACAACCTGGCCAGCTCGGAGACATGCACTCCACTTTCATACTTACCAATGATCTCTTTCTTCCTATCCATAGTAATTCTCACCCTTTTTGCTATAGGGTTGGCACTAGAAGCTTTCTTGGGGCCCATGGTGACTTATTTTGCAGGTGCAATCACGAAAAACGCTGTGATAATATGAAATGTTCCGATTGTATGTTTGGATGGGACCGCGGTGGCTGGCTGGCTTGTAAACACTGGCACCCACGGGACAAGTGAGGCGCGCTCAGGCCACAAGTGGACGCATCTCGAACAGAATGAATAGCGTTGGTCGGGTTTTTTAGCGCTAGTTTAGGCAAAATTTTTGCGTTAAAATGTATCGCTAGTCGGATTTAACGTTAGATGATGCCAACGTTGGTCGAGGGTCAACTGTACTTGGGAGTTTGTTCCACTCATCCACAACTCTATTACCAAACCAGTACTTTCCTATATCCTTCCTGAATCTGAATTTTTCTAACTTAAAACCATTGCTGCAAGTCCTGTCTAGGCTAGATATTTTCAGCACACTATTTACATCCCCTTTATTTATTCCTGTCTTCCATTTATACACCTCAATCATATCCCCCCTAATTCTACGTCTTTCTAGAGAGTGCAGATTCAGGGCCCTTAGTCTATCCTCATAGGGAAGGTTTCTGATACATGGGATCAACTTTGTCATCCTCCTTTGTACATTTTCCAGAGCATTTATATCCATTCTGTAATACGGTGACCAAAACTGTGCAGCATAATCTAAATGAGGCCTAACCAAGGATGTATAGAGTTGAAGAACAACCTGAGGACTCCTATTATTTATGTTTCTTGATATGAAGCCAAGGATTCTATTAGCTTTATTGCGAACACTTATGCACTGTTGTCTTGGTTTCAGATTACTGCTAACCAGAATTCCTAAATCTTTTTCGCAATCCGTAATATTAAGATCTACATTAATTAGTTTATATGTGGCATGGTTATTGTCCTGTCCAACATTTAGAACTTTGCATTTGTCTATATTAAACTGCATCTGCCACCTCTCCGACCACTGCATCAGTCTACTCAAATCTTCCTGGAGTGCTCTAATGTCCTCGTCAGAATGAATTCGACAGCCTATTTTGGTGTCATCGGTAAACTTGCTGATGTCGCTCTTTATGCCCTCATCTATGTCATTTATATAGATTGTGAAAAGCAGGGGGCCCAATACTGGCCCCGTGTGGAACATCGCTCGTGACGCTTCCCCACTCTGATTTCTCCCCATTTATGCAAACTCTCTGCTGCCTATTTGTCAACCATGCCTCAATCCAGGAAAAAATTTCTCCTCCTATTCCATGTGCCTTAATTTTCCTCAATAGTCTCTGATGTGGGACCCTGTCAAAAGCCTTACTTAAGTCCATATACACAATATCATATTCATTACCATGATCTACCTCCTCAAATACCTTAGTGAAAAAAGTTAATAAATTCATAAGGCAGGAACCCCTTTGTAAAACCAAGCTGAGATTCGTTGATTAATTTATGCTTTTCAAGGTGGCAAACAACTGCCTGGGCAATTATTGACTCCATAAATTTTCCCACTAGGGGAGGTTAGGCTTTTTGGTCTATAGTTCGAAGCTAAGGACCTGTCACCTGCTTTGAAAATAGGTTCACATTTGCCATTTTCCACTTATCTGGCCCCAAATGCCAGTTTGTAGTGATATGTTAAAAAATTAGCCAAAGGTTTGCTAAGCTCCTCTTTACTTTCCTTTAGAACCCTTGCATACAGTTCATCAGGGCCTGGGATTTGTTAGTTTTAATTTATCTATTTGCCTAAGGACCAGGGTCACTTGTGACCCTAATCGTGCACATTTTAATTATATCCTGTTCCACATAATTTATCATTTCTGGAATATCGCTGGTATCCTCCTGTGTAAAAACGGAAAGGGAAGTATGTGTTAAAACTTCTACACATTTCCTTATCACTGTCAGCGAGCTGACCCGAGGAACTTTTGAGTGGGCCTATCTGTCCCGATCTTACTTCTGTATACCTGAAAGAAACCTTTTGGGTTACTCTTCAATTCCCCTTGCAACTTTAACCTCATAATCTCTTTTTGCTTTTCTAATTCCTTTTTTTTTTCCTCTCTCTAACTGAATATATCGATTCTTAACTGCCCCTCTCCTCTTTTGATTTGCCTGATAATGCCCTCTTTTGACCAATTAGATCTTTTAATCTATTGTTCAAACCATTTAGGATCATTTTTGTTTGATCTGATTTCCCTATTTGGAACATAATTTGACTGGGGCACTAAACTATGCCCGGGAAACGTCATATCGGCAACCACAACCACCTACCGCCCTTAGTCGGGTCATTCCGTTCACCCCCCCTAAGTAATTTTTCAGTCCATAAAACAGCCAAGCGGAAGTCAGGACAGAGACTTTTTTGCCATTTTTGGGGGAATTTCCATGATATAAAAAACTGAGTGATTTGTGATCACTTTCCCCAACTCATCATTAACCCAAGATTATTAATTATGTTTCCCTACGGCAAAAACCAAGTCAAGGACATTATTTCCCCTATTTGGGCTCTTCACAAACTTTTTTAAAAAAACAATCCTGGATTGTTCAAGAAAGTCTTTGACTAAATTTCCTGTAAAATTCCCAGTAAATTGTCTGATGTTGAAATCCCCATTATCTCAACATTTTCGTTTTAGATGCCTTACAATTTCTCCCTAGAAGTTTACTGCACCCCTATCAAGATTGGGGGCCCTGTAAACCCACACCCAAAATTATTTTTTCCCCTCGGCCCTCGAGAAGCTGTAACCAAACAGATTCAGGGGCTGACGCTTCTAATTTTAATCTTTTTAAACACAACAATTTAAATTGTCTCGACATACATCCCCACCTCCACCACCTTTCCTGTTGACCCTGTCATTTTGGAATAATTTTATCCTGTATGTGACATTCAGAGGGAAATCTCTCATCTTTCAGTTTGGGTCGGGTCTCGTTATAGCAAAATACTATTTTTTCCTGCATTTGCAATTAATCACTCATCTTCTTTTTTTCTTACACTCCTCTATTATATAGTAAACCTTAAGGGGGCAGCCCCCCTTGCTGCCCTCGCTGTCCCCCTTTTTTTTTGCTGACCTGATCTATTTTTTTTATTTATCTTCATGCTGAATGCCTTTTATACTTTACTGTTTCCAACCCCAGTGTTGCAACCCGCTTTTTCCCACAACACCCAACCCTAACTTCCCCCATTTAAAATCAAGGCATTTCACCAATGGCCTTCTCATCGAGTCTGCAAGTGCTACCACCCCACCCCCAGAGAGATGTACCCCATCCCCTTTCATACTATCATTTTTGCCATAAAATTGTTCCATTGTTTAAAGAATGGGATTGCAAGTTCCTTGCAGTACTGTCAGCCAGCAATTTTCAAAACCCCAATTTTCCCTAACAACCATTTATTTCCACTCCCCTTTTAGGGAAGATGCAAATGATTGGGATCCCCCCTTTTGACTTAAAAAAAAACTAAGCTGACATAAATAAATAAAAACAAAAGGCAAATACCGTGACTGAACGATACACAAATAACCCCACAAAAAGAGAGAACTTACGACGACGTTTCGGTCCGACTGGACCTTGACAAAGTCACACTAACAGAGGTGGGGCAGGACGGGTATATATAGGCAGAAGAGTGGAGGTTTTTAATAGTAGTACAAGAATTTTAAATAAACCGGGGGGGCAAAGAAAAAAAGACTCACACAACACCCGGGATCCCCCCAAGACGTTTCGCCACCAGCCAGCCACTGGTGGGGAAACGTCCATAACAAAAAACAAAACCCAAAGCCGCACATAGCTGACAGTATTATCTAGCAGCTCTTCTCTCCACCCTTTCCCAATATCATTTCCCCCGACTAAGACAGATAATGGGCTTTTTCCCATTAACCCGACATATATTTTCCCCTGTTTAAATATGTCCCCAACCCCACCAGGGAACACACTACTCCACTTCTTTTTTCCCATTTCAAAAAGCAAAGGTCAATAAACCTTACCTGAAGGGCACCAAAACAAGAATGCACTACCTCTATTAGCGGGGGAGTATACCCTACCTTCACTGGCCCCTGAGTACATTTATCCTGAAGAACAGAGAAGCGATTTCCTACCTTCAGATCTTCACTCTTAACTTTCCTTGCTCTGATGCGCCTCCCATTACTGGGAACCACTCGCCACTTGTAGCAGGTGCTGGACTGCACCTCAATGCTGGTAGCCATTGCTACCTCCCCACCTACAGCCTCCTCACAGCGAGAGAGAGACTGCACCTCACTGCTAGAAGCCTCATTCCCCACAACTCCAGCCACCTCACACTCTCTCCCAGACCCACTGAGGTGGACCTTCAGCCTCCTAATCTCCTCCTGGAGAAGCAAGACCTCCTCCTTCAACTCTCTAACCTCAATTTTTAAAACACTGCAGAAGCAAGCCATGCTTTGTAACCGTCCACGCTAATCCCCAAAGCAGCTCAGGGTCTGTGACCTCACGTGACGACTGACCACTGACAACTGACGACTGCAGACACTATTGGTATACACCTGGATTATAAATTTCATACATGACCAAACACATTTATTCTTACACCAAAAATACATTTGTTGGTCTATTGTGCAGTAATTCATCGTGCATTCCAAGACAGTCTCATAATGTTAAACCTCCATCTACCCACCTTTTGTACTAATTAGCACTGGCAACATAATCTTTAATAAAAAAAAACCTTAAAACTTTGAACAAGCTTACCTGAGTTTGACTTTTGTTCTTTGTGGAGACTTTTGTTCTGTATGCTTGACGGCGACGCTTGAAGTCTCGCATTGCCTTTTTCAGCTCTAGTTCTGAGAGCTCTTTTGGCTGGTTATCAACAGGAATAAAAGTTTCCTGAAAAAATTACAGTAATTTAGCTCCAAGCAATCAGTATTAAGCATTGTTTTAAAAAAATATGGCAAAAAATTTGAGCGCTCACATCTGACTGAATAATAAGTCAATAAATTTAAATTCCTGGCATTAACTCTTTCACTGTCCATCAAGTAGACCTATGTTACTGATGCCAAGGTCCCTGAAGTAGATCTATGCCTTAAGTTCAGCTCACTCAGATATGCTGAGAACAGTAAATTTTGGCCTAGATATGAGAGAATGAGTCAGTGTTGTGAATGTGCCATATAAAACAAAATCCTGCCCCATGTGATGCATGATGGAAAAAGGAAAACTCTGACCTTGTGTTTGGTTTAAAACAGCAACTCTGAGGTGTTTTGTAGGGTGGCTTTTATGGTTATAGTGGTATCATTTGAGGAAAGAAGACATAACACTGAAATAAGAGATGATTTTGGTTGGCTCCAGGACTAGAAGTAGCACAAGATCAGCCTCAAAGTAGTGGAAATGTTTGATTTTTGCCAATTTTCCTGAGGACAAGTAAGACCTCCTACACTCCTGGTCTGTTTTATGGGTTTTTACAAAGTCTGATTCAATTATTGGGATGTCATAAACCATGACCAAATATTCCTGGTTATATTTTATTATCTGAGAAATGAGGTAAATCTTCTCCTACAGGGGAGGCCAGGGAATGTGATTAATGAACAAAGGAAATATTGTATTAGTGCCTGGAATGTCTACAGAGCTTATTTTGAACTGTTTTTAAATTACAGACTTCTATGCACTTTATATGGTAGTTCTGATAGCTGAATGGGAAGTTTCTTGTTCTCAATTGATAGCACTGAAGGCATACTAGTGAAATAGCTAAGAATTTTGTTAAATTGGCTTAAAATAGGGCTCAAAGTGGGGAAAATCATTGATGCATAAACTGCACCCATACCACTAACTTTGTGCCTGTATAATTTCATATTTTTGGTGTCATTATCTTCAGAAAATGATTCTCTACTTTCTATTTTGGTACTTCTGACAGTGAAGAAATTACTGTTCTAACATTCACTGTGAAAGAATTTTCTAAATATGATACAGTGACATAACCAAGTTAAATTACAGGAAAAAGTAAAGACAAGGACAGCATGAACATACACACTCAGTAATTATTTACCCTACATGAAATGTCAATGTAGCAGTTTTTTAACACATTAACCATTCCCCACCAAAGTAGGGTGACCCCAAGAAACACAATCACCATTACTCATTCCCAAGCTGTCCTTCCAGATCATGGACATCACAATTCAACTGATCCATCTTCACCCTTTCTTGAGTTTGTGCACAGTACTTATCACAGTCAGGACTACAATCTTCCTATGAGTTTCCTAAATTATTTTTATATATTTATTTTATTAACACATCGGCCGATTCCCACCAAGGCAGGGTGGCCCGAAAAAGAAAAACTTTCATCATCATTCACTCCATCACTGTCTTGCCAGAGGGGTGCTTTACATACAGTTATAAAACTGCAACATTAACATCCCTCCTTCAGAATGTAGACACTGTACAGTGGACCCCCGCTTAACGATCACCTCCCAATGCAACCAATTATGTAAGTGTATTTATGTAAGTGCATTTGTAGGTGTATGTTTGGGGGTCTGAAATGGACTAATCTACTTCACAATATTCCTTATGGGGACAAATTCGGTCAGTACTGGCACCTGAACATACTTCTGGAATGAAAAAAATATCGTTAACCGGGGGTCCACTGTACTTTGCTCACACTCCAACAGCATGTCAAGTATTAAAAACCACTTGTCTCCATTCATGCCTATCAAATACGCTCACACACGCTTGCTGGAAGTCCAAGCCCGTCGCACACAAAACCAGCTTTACCCAACGCTCCAACCCTTTCTAGGCCGACCCCTACCCTGCCTTCCCTCCACTACAGATTTATACACTCTCGAAGTCATTCTGTTTTGTTCCATTCTCTCTACATGTCCGAACCACCTCAACAACCCGTCCTCAGCCCTCTGGACAATAGTTTTGGTAATCCCACACCTTCTCCTAATTTCCAAACTACGAATTCTCTGCATTATATTCACACCACACATTGCCCTCAGACGTGACATCTCCACTGCCTCCAGCCTTCTCCTCGTTGCAACATTCATCACCCATGCTTCACACCCTTAAAAGAGTGATGGTACAACCATACTCTCATACATTTCCCTCTTTGCTTCCACAGACAAAGTTCTTTGTCTCCACAGACTCCCCTCATAAATTCAATGAACCTTTTTCCCCTCAAAAAATTCAATGTTTCACCTTCTCCTTCATAGACCCATCTGCTGACATGTCCACTCCTAAATATCTGTATACATTCACCTTCTCTATACTCTCTCTCCCTCCAATTTGATATTCAATCTTTCATCACCTAATCTTTTTGTTATCCTCATAACCTTACTCTTTCCTATATTCACTTTTAATCTTCTTCTATTACATACCCTACCAAATTCATCCACCAACCTCTGCAACTTCTCTTCAGAATCTTCCAAAAGCACAGTGTCATCAGCAAAGAGCAACTGTGACAACTCCCACTTTGTGTTTGATTCTATATCTTTTAACTCCATACCTCTTGCCAAGACCCTTGCATTCACTTCTCTTACCCCATCTATAAATATATTGAACAACCACGGTGACATCACACATCCTTGTCCAAGGCCTACTGGTACTGGAAAATAATCTCCCTCTTTCCTCACTACCCTTGTAAAAACTCTTCACTGCTTTCAGTAACCTACATCCTATACCATACACCTGCAAGATCTGCCACATTGCCCCCTATCCACCCTGTTATATGCCTTTTCCAAATCCATAAATGCCACAAAAACCTCTTTAGCCTTATCTAAATACTGTTCACCTATATGTTTCACTGTAAACACTTGGTCTATACACCCCCTACCTTTCCTAAAGCCTCCTTGTTCATCTGCTATCCTACTCTCCGTCTTACTCTTAATTCTTTCAATAATAACTCTACCATACACTTTACCAGGTATACTCAACAGACTTATTCCCCTATAGTTTCTGCACTCTTTTTTATCCCCTTTGCCTTTATACAAAGGAACTATGCATGCGCTCTGCCAATCCCTAGGTACCTTACCCTCTTCAATACATTTATTAAATAATAGCACCAACCACTCCAAAACTATATCCCCACCTGCTTTTAACATTTCTATCTTTATCCCATCAACCCCAGCTGCCTTACCCCCTTTCATTCTACCCACTGCCTCACGAACTACCCCCACACTCACAACTGGCTCATCCTCACTCCTACAAGATGTTATTCCTCCTTGCCCTATACACAAAATCACAGCTTTCCTATCTTTATCAACATTTAACAACTCCTCAAAATATTCCCTCCATTTTCCCGATACCTCTAATTCTCCATTTAATAACTCTCCTCTCCTATTTTTAACTGTCAAATCCATGTGTTCCCTAGACTTCCTCAACTTATTAATCTCACTCCAAAACTTTTTCTTATTTTCAACAAAATTTGTTGATAACATCTCACCCACTCCGTCATTTGCTCTCTTTTTAGATTGCTTCACCACCACTCTCTTAACCTGTCTTTTTTTCTCCATTTTTACCCTTCCCTCCTTGCATCACTTCAAATTTTCCAAAATTGTTTCTTTTTTTAAATTTTGGCCCTTGCCATCTCAACATTTATGTTGCGCAGCAGGTGTTGCGAAAGCGGGTGTTGCGAAAATTTTAAAATTAAGAGCGCAACACTCTAAATTGTCGACAAAAGGGGGAAAATTTCCCTTGGCCTATACCTGGGACAAAAAACAAAATTTTCAGCACCATACCCAATACTTTAAAAAAAAAGAAACCAAAACGGGGGGGGAATCCTCTCCAAGATCGAAAAATACGTGCCGAAAACTGCCCTTCCCACCCTAAAACCATTCACTTTTATACCATCCCCTCACCTTTTGCAAATCTGTGCGGGGGGTTCAACGGGCAGCAACCACCTAAAGCCAATAATAACCCAAACAAAAAGCGCAGTAAGAAAAATTTCACTAAATCCCATCCCGGCAACACCCCCCCCACTCTTCATAGTTTAAAACTTACTCCTGTTCAGAGCATCCCCCCTTCCCTACTGTGCAATCTATATCTACGGCCCCTTAAAAATTTTCAATTTTAAACCCTTGCCCTAAAACGCTTTCTTGATAGTTGGACGGGATCCACGGGCCCGTAACACCAGACAAAACATCCCGACTTTCCCCCGTGTTCGACAAAAACCTTTTAAAAAAAAAATTCCCAATGTATTTTAAAAGGGGACCAAAAAAATCTGAAAACACCCTACCTGAAAACTCTAAAAAACTGCAGACACATTCATACTTTAAAAAAACTACAGTCAGAAAACATCTTATCTCCCTGTTTCCCCCCGACAACTAACTACATGATAACAAACCCTGGTGGTTCAAAATTTAAAACACTCATTTCCCCACGGGGCCTTTTAAACCCAAAAATACTAAACTTAATTTTAAAAATAAAAAATTTCTAACTAGTCATAATTTTTTGGCCTTGTTTTCCCCAAATATAGACACTTTGTATTGTGCCAAAAAAAAAGCATTCCTTTTGCTATACTCACAAATTATAATGTAGTCACTTACCCTTTAAATTTACCAAAATCGGGAAAGGGATTTAATGTTAAGAAAAATCTAAGTCTCCCCAAAAATGCCAAAGCCATGCTAGGTGTCCAAGTGGCCCCCTCTGTAATTATTTTTTTTAAAACGAAAAACCACACAATACCCAAAATGTAAATCCCACTTTTGAAAAACCCTTATAGAGAAAAACTTGAATTAAATTTAAATTTGAATTGAATAGGGTAAATTAAAAAACCACTTCTCCCCACTCTGTTTCAAATTTATATTTTTAAAGCCGTGGATGTTTAAAACCCCCCTTCCTTAAAACCCACCCTCACCCCCCCTTTAAAAAACCCCTTCCAAAGAGCACCCCCTTCCCTC